GAGGAGTGCAACAGTTTTTTCACACACATTATATTTTAGTTTTTTGTAAGTCAACTCTGAGAATACTTTTGTTATTTTTTTATAAGTAAAGAAAACACCTTTTTTTTTAAACAAGAAAATTCTCCACGAGTGCTTTTTGTTTTGTGAGTCAAAAAACCTCCTCCTAAGACTACTCTGGCAATTTCAGATTTTTTTGGGAAACTATTTTGATGCAAGAGTAGCCGTAACAGATATTTTAAGCTGTCTAAAGGTTTACTCAACATTGCTTTTGGTGAACGTTTATAAATAAAGTTTTATTGCATTTCTAGTACAATAAAACCTCACGCTTTCTCTGAAAATTGCATAATTTAAAAAATTTCTGCCAGAGGTAAATGTTTTGAAAACATATCAGTCTCTGTTGTTGTACTGATGTTGGAAAAAAATGTTTTTTTTTCTTTATGGGGAAATATGCATGTGCACAATGACTGTCGTCAGAAGAAATTAAATAGAACGTAATTAAAAACATATGCATGTTGATTTTCAACAAAAATCTTGCACACTAGTGGTGTGGAGGGTAAATTAACCCATATTAAAGCTCCAGTAGTGTCGTTTCTTTGGAGTTTTTAATCTTCATGTAGATGTGTTTATAGAAATGAGTGAACAATCCTAAAGTTAGCAGTTAGCTTGATCTGCATTTCTGTATGTCAATTCACTGCTCAGTAAAACCATTTTCAAAACACTGCCAATATTTCTAAATATATCACTTAATAAAACAGAAAAACTTTGTATTGCATTTATTTTCCACTGAATTGATATCCCTGATAAATGTTATTGTTATTATGGCCTGGTTGAAAAATATTTAGATTTTTAGCTTTAGATCACAGATCAGAAAAGGCTGAGGGTATATTGTCACAATTCAGGTCACCACCTCATTTCTTATTGTATCTCTACTATTTATAGGCGGGTTTGTAACACAGAGATAATGAAGCTGCATGATGCCTTAAGCTAAATGTTAGATGTGACTCTCAGGAAACTTTATGATGCTGCTTTGCTTTCAAACTTCTCTTCTAAAGGCTGAGCGGAGGGTCTGTTGCACGGTGGTGCTTTGATGTTTCTGGCAGGAGACCCACCAGCAGGAATCTGTGTCACTGTTTCAGTAATACAGTCCCCAAACACTGAGGGATAGAATCACATTTAAAGCTCTCTGAAGACACGACTCCTGTGTTCATTTTGGTTTTTCAAATCCTTTAGGTTTGCTTAAATGATGTTACATATTATGATCTGATAAAAAGGAAAACATAAACTCCCTTGCAGCTTTGACATTTTCTGAAGCTCCAGCAATGGGAGGACTTGGTGTTCGGTCTTCATGGCAAACAGCTGTTAAAATGCCCACAGGGTGGTGTTAGTCTTCACTAGTGGTCTTACTGCTGTAGATTATAAAGGTGGTATCCACTGCAGCAGCAACTTATTGCTTTGTCGTCTGGACAGAAAGGTTTTAGCTGCTAACATCTCTGGACATAAATCTTGATATGCATGTTTATAGGCTTTATTTATGAAGGGGATAATATATGCAAAATGCAGTGATGAAGTTATTTCCTTTTGATTTTGACCTAAACCAGTTAGAAAATATGCTGCCCAAGCTTATCCAAGCAAAACACATTCTGTGCCTCCTTACTAGGTCAACTTGTTTAGCATGGCTGCTGCTTCATATTTAGCTGTTCATTATATATATATATATATATATA